GGAGTATATCAACCATTAATTTTCTCACGATTCACTACGGTGGTCCCTTATGGATTTAATGAAATGTTTTTGTGAACCAGGCGTGAACAAAAGCTGTATCTGGATTGCACAAAAGAGTGAGATTTTATCCACCCTAAATTGTGTACGGGAAACTTTTCAGACTTTTGTTACAGTACTCAGATGTGTGTGTGTGTGCGCACGCGACATTTTGAAGAACTTTCCGGTATTTCAAGTGTGAAATTTGAACTTGAGACTACCACAAATATTCTCCCCGGAACGATCCCGGGATTGTTCTCTCTCTCTCTCTCTCTCCTGATGTCCATGTTTTTGCTTTTTTGCTTTCACCGAATAATTAATTATTCATGTATCATCCGGTTATACCGAAAAGCAAAACTCTGACCGACTTAGGTAAAGGGGGAGGGGGACAACGGATAGAATAAATCATGGAATGTGAAATGTGTCAAAATTATCTTTCAGATTGTATTATGATCATCATGATTATGATGAACCTCACTCGTTGTTTCATTACTCGCCTATTATAAACAGGCGACAAAGAAATGACATACACCATGGCTTATTTCTACCCGTTGTTCGAGAGTGGATTATCGGNTCATCCAATACGGCGTCTGAGCGAATTTAACAAGCCAGTTTAGCACGACACCCTGAACATGACCTGAATCAGATAAGGTGTTTCGGTAATGCTTACGTCGGACACGTAGTCGTGCGTGATCATGTAAGATTATCAAATAGAAGATCTCAATCAATGAAGCGTTTTCAGCTCACAATAGACTTCAACCGCCCATCGATTTAAAAGTGTCTGAAATCCGTCCCTCCCCCCGCTCACGCACATACAGAGTCGGTCAATTCAATTGAATTATCAAAAACGTCAGTAGGATGGTTTTATTCAGAGTGTTTACATTAAATTAGCTCATTTATACCTGAGGAATTAACGGTGCTCCGTTTTAATAACAACTGGCACCGTCCCATTAACTTTGATGTCATTTTAGACGATTTTCTCAGGTGATCGCCGCCTTTTTTGCATCCGAGTTGAAGCCTGATTGCTGTCAGTCACGAGAGCATGTATGTTATTGACAATATTTGGTGCCAAGACAACAGGTGCTAGCTGACAATGAGAAAACGGCTTCAAACAGTCATCATATTCCATAATCAACGTCAAAGGGAAATGATAAAAGATAACATTCGAGCGATAATCATTTAAAGGTAAGCCCCAAATTTGATTTATTACAGCATCTGGTGCAAGTTCAGCTGCCAAAAATGAAGATACGCTAAGTTCATAGAGCTTACTCAAAGCTGTGCACTCTCATCCATCTCATACGCATGAACAGTGTTAGAAGAACCAGGTAGAAAAGTATATTTGACGGAGATGTTCCATGTTCGTGGCCTAATAAAATAGCAGCCTGCGACTGATTAAAACCAAGTCAGGTTAGACGCTAGTTTCAGCTGCGTTCGTTTGCTGTTTGAGATTAGTCAATATTCTAAAACAAGTGAGGGTAGTGATAACAATGGAAGAAAACTATTTTTGGTAACGTGCGACTGTGCCCCTGGATCATGAAAAATTTGAATTTGACCAATTCGTCTCAGCAGTCCAGTTATCATATAGTCTAAGAGTAAGAATAACACAGAAAGGCATCGGAACGTTTCAAAGTAACGGTATTTTCATCTACCATTTTTGTGTGGTACCACCATAAACTAAACGAACGACTGGTTAACGACACGTCAACATACTGAGTCAACCTAACTTAACAATTATTTTTACTACTCAATTCTCAGTATGAAACAAGCAACTGCGCATTTCACTGGACAGTCTTTTTGGAGGCACAAATATCGAAGAATAGAGTTGGATTAGGGGCAACAGTCATATTCATGCAGTTATCATATTCTACCGACTGACATGCACCTTGAAAGAGTTTCAGGTTTCCCATGAAGCATAAACTTGCATAAACTGGGTATGAACTGGGTACTTCATTTTTCATTTCCATCTTTATTACTTGCTGAACGCTGCGCAACAGACAGGAGTTCTGCTTTTCACAAGACGAGTTCCTGTTGGATTTTTTTGCACGGCCATTTGCGGTCACGTTTCTACTTGATTTATGACACTGAATCAAGCATCATTCCCTACATTCAGTTTCAGTCTGTACACCCATTAAACAGGCACCTTCTTGTGTTTATAGCTCGCGCTTTAGATCGAATGAAAATGCCTAATTATGACTTTGAAACGCGGAAATTTCACAAATTACAAAGCTCAAACGCCTTTCTAATAATTGCAGTTTCTCCATAATGTTTTCATGGAATAGACAGACACCTATAACTAATGATATATAAAAAGGCATGTGAAAAAAACTGTGAACTTTAACAGATATCCTAGATTTGATTGGTAAACATTTTGAGAGAACACCACTCAGCATTGACCATGTGACCAACACACTGGGGAAGTTCTGTCTGAGCGATCGATCAGTTTAACCGATAGTGCTCACATGATCGAAATGCAAACCCCACTTTCTTGTCCACATGGGTGGTGAAGGAAAACAGTCGTTGTGTGTTCAGCTGTCTGGACTACCGAGTGGATGAGACACGTACATGCAGTGGTTTAACCAAAACCGTTTAAAGCAACGCATATAATTCAACAGTCGTTTTCTGTAACAGATCTCGCGGGCAAAAGAACGAGGCCAGTCTTTCAGTAAGAGAGTTATATGAGGAAACTATCAGAAAACCACTTGTCATAAACTCTTGACCAATATGAGGGTTGAGCATTATAGTAAATTTACTGGTGATCAACTCAAGCCAACTACATAAAAGCTTGAATTATCTATAAGATGAATTCTCAGAAATCTACTGCTTTCAAGTGGGTAATGGAGGGTTTGGTTCAATTTCAGAAGGTGAATTCGTCATGAGCTAAAAAGCTAGGAAGTACTGGACAACTATTTCGACCTGGTTGGCTCTCATCAGCAGTGCGAATCCGTCGACCCAACTGGGGATCGAACCCGGAACTATATTGGCAGGACGCAAGCACGCTATCCACTACGCCACCGGACAGCCGAAAGAGAGTTGGCCTACCTCTTTCTATATTTACANTTCACTTTCTCTTGAAGCGTTGTCCGTACGACCAAGCGTTTGTCCGAATGTATCCATGACCATAAACCTGCGTGGTTGAGAAGTGGAGTAGTTAAATCAATCACCACTGCGGTCGTGTCGCACCTGGTTGACACTATTCAGACCGTATACGTTACCGAAGTGTCTCGATTCCTGTTCAGAGTTAGAATGAGACGGTCTAGGCACGTGCCTTTCCGTATTCTATTCACACCGGAGAAAGTTTGCAGTCTGCTTTGCAGGAAGTGTTTCATACAAATTGAGGGCAGAATAACAACCACTGGTAGCGATGTTTAGAGGTGAGTATTCTGAACGATCAAATGAGAGAAGACTCGGGGCCTAGGTGTGAAATATGTTTTACTCACTACGTACAAGTGCTTAATCTAAGATTGAAGAATCCATATGCTTCTTGTAGTGTTACATATAACCAACGAACCGAGGCAAACTCATCCAAAAACACCAGGTTACTACACGTTTGATTTATCCGCGATCATGTTGCTGGCGGTTATTTTCGTCCAGCACAGACCGCCAGAACACAGTATAGCATACAAACAAATATTTCACCATAACGGAAGTAAAAAATGGTTGAATAATTGTACAGTTTTTCTCCCGGTGAAATTTCGTGAACGTCGGGTGACGTAACAAACGCAACAGAGCATCATAGAATTTTCGATCAGTTTTCGAAGCAAGTATATGCATACACGTGTGCTGACGCACATTTTTGTCATAAGTTTTCTTAGGGTTTTCACAGAAAATAGAACTCTCAATACCCAATGATCTATCAAAGCCACACTCCCGCAGTGATTAAGCAGAGGAAATTGTATCCATTGGGATGAACCTATCCATTATTCACTAGAATTGGCCTAGATCCACTTAATATATTCGCCTAGTTTGGAAATTTGATTCCTAAAGTTTTATCATCGGCTGGGATGGCAACGCTGTAAGCACGAAAGTTACAAAATCGGCTAATGTTAAAACATCTGCAAGCAAATTGCCAAACTCGGTTGAGAGGTGAACATTTATTCAGTCCATCCTAGCTAGAGCTATGAGAGCCGATTTTCAGAGTCTTGCCCCGTTCCATAGTTGACGCGATACTCGATCATCTTATTCTTATTGCCATTATATAATACGGAAATAACTAGCTTGTACTGAAAACATTTTCTGTCCAATTACGTACGTAACAGTATAAACAAAAAGTCTCCGTGTCCACAGGAACAACAAAATAGCATCACGAGCACAACACTGAATGACGCGTTGCGAAGTAGACACACACACACACACCAGTATAAACCGATTTGGCCTGGTTCACATACCTTTTGTAGCCGTGCGTTCAATTCCGCGTACTCATAAACATCCCGAAACAGTGTGCCACGTATCGAATCCCCAAAACAAGGACTGCTGGTGTCCGTTTGGGTTTGGTCCCGTTCGCCGGGCGCGTGCAGGCTGATCGAGTATGGGTCTGGTTCATTGGGGTCGAGGAGCACATCGGATTTGGTAGTCCCACTGTCAGACCACATATCTCCGTCCGAATCGTTCAGGTAGCACAGTTGGAATGCGTGCGCGTTGTCAGTCTGGCTTACCGGTAAAGCCAATGGCAACGGAAAGACGCACGAGATGATGTACCAGGCCAGGCGTATGATAAAATAATAAGAATATTGGATGATGGCGAACGAGAACCGTACCAGTGCCACGCACGACAGTAACCAGAGCAACGAGGATAGCACAAGAAACAACAACAATAGTTACAACAATAGACAGACAACAACAGAACGAATTGGATCAGTGATTGTGTGCTACACAAACAAGAATGGTGGTCTGTAAACATACTAATGTACCGGATGATGTAACGAACCTGTGTATCATCAGACGAACACGTGTATGGTTGGTGAGTGATTAAAATTAGTTCTGTTTAGTGCACGTTTCCGGATCACGTGATAGAGTAGAGCTATAAATTCTCAAATCTTCTGGTGTAAAATTTAATGCAGATAAATTACTAGGCATGCATGACCAAATCGAGCTACCATAGGGGGAACATATTCTGTTTCGTATGGTCAAAAAACTAGGGCCAAGTAATCAAATTTTATGATTCATGTTTTGAACGGAGCATACGTGTGTCGGGATGTCAAACTATGACCATGAATTTTCCAGGAACGTACCTCTGCTTGTTCGTAGAATTTGCTCGCGGGCATGATTCCAAGGCAACTATTGACTCAGTCCCCAGGCAGTCACTTATATTCATTCACTCTGGTCTCACGTGACTTTGATGTGCTCGCGTACGCGTGGGTTTGTGCATAACAATGTGTCACGTGTGGAATGAAAACAGAACAAGAACAGAAACGCCACCCATACGCTTTGGGGGCGTTATAAACAGGAATTTGCCCCATTCCGATTCGTCCTTGCTGGTGCGTGTCTTCATGGGCGTTAACGTAAAGGTTTGGAGCTAATACACACACCCTTGTCTGGTGACCTTAAACGAAATTCCTTCTGTTTTCGTTTTGCTGATTGCTTTTGTGGACTGACAGCGTAGATGAAACGATGTGCACGATTGACAGAGCTATGCTGCTTACGGCTAACGTAGGCCAACTCTCTCTTTCGGCTGCCCGGTAGCGTAGTGGATAGCGTGCATGCGTTCTGCCCATGAGGTCCCGGTTCGATCCCCAGTTGGGTCGACGGATTCGGACTGCTGATGAGAGCCAACCAGGTCGAAATAGTTGTCCAGTGCTTCCTAGCTTTTAGTTCATGCTTCATTTGCTATATACATGACGAATCCCCTCTATAAATTGAATCAAATCCTAGATTACTCACATGAACTGAGAGCTTTGTCAAACATGGACCTACCGCTCTGTTTCGTGCATGCAACGAATGATATCACTAATTAAAAGAAATGGTTCATTCGGTGCTGGATAGGAACGTGAACGGGTACTGATTGACTGATGAAGATTTATTCTGCTCACTTCCTCTCACTTCTTCACTGGTCTCTCTAAATCACTGGGATCAGGATACAGTTTTTTCATTCTTTAAATTCTTCAGCCACGCACATCCACTTAATCCACCGGGGTTCGCATCGGAGCATGAGCGGTTGTGAATATGTGAGCCTACAACACCTTAGTTCACATCAATCAATAAGACCATACTGTGCACATTTACTGAGAGAGGCTATTCAGGGGTGAATATGGGCGATTGGTTCGATTTAATAACCCTCTTATACCATTGGATTTGTGTGCATTTAAAAAAAATCTAACAAGTTTGGTTCCGTTTATTAACTCCAACCAGTTCTACTCCCTCTCATTTTGTTCTCGGCCCTCATATTTTCACCCTAAGAAAATCTAAGAAAAATAATTGAATTGAATGGATATAAATAATTATTAACCATATGTTTTACCTTAGTATGCAGTACTGGTCGACTGTGATGGACTAACTTATTTTCTTTTTGATCAAATAGAGGTCCATTATATTTATCACCTATAATAACGCGTCAGGTATGGACAATATGTTATCCCTTGTCTACCTCTATCTACGTAGTTTCTAGTCAGCATGACTGTCAATTAAACGTGCCTGACCTTAGTTGCCAAAATAAAATAATCTCAACATGAAAACCCCAACCCTACCAGATATGAAAGTGTAATATATTCTAATAGGAGCAACTCAAGAATTATCTCAAATTATTTCCACAAACCCTTGCCATCTCGGTTATTTGTTATGAGGCATTATTTTATCCAATATGTAATCCTTAATAGCAACTCCATTAAATAACCAAATGAAATTCTCTCACAACCCACTGAGAAATTGCAATTAATAAGATTTCATAATAAAAGCTGTTGCCTAAACGAACCCTCAAATGTTTTACGGGGACTCGTTGCTTCAGTTTTGATTAGACCTGTACGTGATGATTGGAAGGCATTGTCGAGAGGTAATACATTCTGATTGAATAAAAAGAACTTTTCAAGTAGACATGGGTTCCGTAATGTTCCCTGTCCTGTTGACTGCAGTTGAGGTTTTCGCTGCCACTGACTCCCACGTTTTTCTAAATGATCATACTATTTCATACAAAAGGAACCACATGAAAAAGATCGATTCATAACATGTATCATTTTGTTTTAAAAGATTTCAATTTAAAAAGTAACATTTATTAAGTTCCAGTTCAAACATGCATGACATTAAATTAGATCAGTATTGTATTCTTTCAGTTGTGCCGAACTTCAAGACCTCCATAACAAACACCTTTTTTAAGTGAGTGGTTGGTTGATCGTCACCCGATGAAAGTAATCGAATTTGATCAGCACTTACCGCCCGGGTTTGATAGAGCCAACGTGGTCGACCGCTCAACCAAGTCTCGATTCCTGTGCACCAGTCAGTTTCACGGGGATGCCAGAGTGTATCCGGGCTCCGGGCACGATTCAGATGTTGTTCGGTCAGACAGGAGAGCGGTGAGGAAAAACCGGCGCCGTACAAATCAGAGCCGTCCTCATAGGTCGGGAGCGGGCTGTCCGGCTGAGTTCGATTGCAAGCATGTATGAGGGAAGGGGAGATTAGAAGAAAGTCAGTTTACTAACCGGGGACAGCACAGCTCATTTGTTGCAAAACATACAACAAATGTTTGAATGTACTCATTGAAAACAACCACGCGTCCATGCTTTGCAATACAATAAAGAGGTACACGTTTTGGAGTTTACGAGTATCCAATGTCAAAATTATAAATTTCTGATTACATTAGAACTACTCATCTGAATAATTCATATTTGGTGATTTTTAAAACGTCCAACGCTGACAATGTAACGGAAGTACTTTTATGGCAATTCTACGACCTCAGATAAATTATTATCTATACCTAAAGCATTACTGCTCAGTATGTATGATAATATATATGGTAATAATGTATTATATATAACATGTATGATTAATTTAACGGAACTCAATTTCATCAGAAAGAAAATATTTTAGTGCATCAAAATCAGCCAGTACTGCATACACTTGAAGCAAGATACATCTAAATCTGAGCTCACCGGTGGTGGGTTTGAGTTATTGAGCTGCCCACTTTTGTTTGAAAGTAATGAAATAATAGTTAAAAGATCTGCTGACTGGATCAGAAAGTTTGGAATCGGTTACGGTTGAGAAGCTTGAAACAGAATATACATTTTCATGAGAGCAAGAGGAAACATCACGATTACAGGATGTGCTGAATTCAACTATTTCGTGGTAATCTCATCAGCTGTGTACACACATTTGGATCACGTTTGGTTAATAGAATGACAGATTGATTTTTCTTTCTCGTGTATGTTCGCCTGTCCCCAAACCTGTCACTCTTTTAACCAAACGTGATCCGAATGTATGTACACAGCTGATGAGATTACCACGAAATAGTTGAACTCAACACATCCTGTGATCGTGATGCTTCTTCTTGCTCTCATAAAAATATTAAAGGGAACTGGTTGCATGGAAGAATATACACTGCTATGTCTAACATATTTATTCAGTCTACCAAAAGCGTATCAAGCAACGAGGAGAAATTTTTTGATGAACCATTTCTGCAGAATTCCGTATGCCTAAAATGGTTTCCAACTGCAGCGCGCTATACCCTTGTAATAGCGTGGAGTGTAAACACATGAAGACATTTCCAGTCCAATCGTCACCCACTGATAACGCTGGTGGAGCGCTCAAACTGCACTAACATCCGGCAACCATAAAATCTGTTTAGTGTGACAGCCTTTTTCGTCAAGTAAGCCAATTTCAAGGTTCACACTGACTCGGTAATTGATTAGGAGGCGAAATCCTGTCATCTGCTAGCCGGAGAGATGTTTCCTACGTGCAAGACAGTGGTAGCCTAAGCAACGGAGAATGTTGGTCTTTTAACCGTACAAATTTATCCAGCTACTTAGACTACATAGAGTGATATTTCTACACGCGTTCCGATTGTCCATAGTATAAAGCCTCCTCTGTCCATCGAAGAATGTCAAAACGCTATTTCTTCTTCAATTCTAAAGGATTGAAAGGATTGTATTTTGACGCTTTGGCATCTGGGTGATGAGTTTTGAATGAAATTTAATCCCAACACACACTACACTTAAGTCTGATCAGTTTACGACACGCGCATCAACAAGTCAGAACGCGTGGTAGCAAAAATGCCTTCTTGTATACACAGTTTTCCTCAATGAGAAACCGAAGGGGTGCTTATATAAATTTTATATATAAGAAACTCTTATCTTCTGTTCAGCACAATGAAGTTAAATGGCCTTTTGAGGACACAAAGTTCGATTGGGTAGACTTCGTCCTGGTCTAAATTGAAACAAACTAGCGGAAACTGTCAACTAGATTACTAAAACTTTGAAAATGATATATTTCCAACATCCCTGAGATAAGATTACAGATCTCTGTATGTGTGTTCGTAACATCTGGATTTAAGAATTAGCTTTCGTAGGGAAGCGGAGTAAATGCATCTCAATGAGTTAACTCTCAACTGAGATGATGCGTTAGGGATCCGGAAACATAAAGTATGCACTTCATTAAATATTAATCCCAATGATTAGTCTACCACAAATTCACTTCCCATAACGGCTTCCTAGAAAGAAATTTACTTCATGAGTCAGCATTAGTAAAGTGCAGCGTTGGAGGTCGTCCATCGATAAGCGCACACTGTGGTTCTACTGGATTGCATTACTGATTCCGTAACTATGAGCCGTCGACTAAGCTATCCCTTTCTTTTGTGAATTAGGATAAAAGGTCGTTGTCGGTTGCGTGTACAAAGTAGTGAACAAAGTGACGAACAGCTCTGTGTGTGCTTGCACTATCAGGACTACGAATAACCAGTCACCCTCAGGTGAGTGAGCATGCTCAACTGACTAAGCACATCTCTATTGGTGATGATGAATCTCCTCCTTTCATTCACCCACCTCACACCCCCGTGACCTAGTCCACTCGGTAGAAGCATTGAATCCACATTGAATAGCGCGTACACGTGACCTAAATTTTAGGTTTTCAAGTAGTTATTCTTACCTGAAAGGTTGTTTCTCTACAAATACAAACACTGACAAAATGGTGTCCAAGATTTTGACGATTTTCATCACGTTGGTATTACTTTGGAATCAACTGACGAGGCCCTTCTACTGGACCGAAAGGGTTCCGTTCAGTTAAGCTTGTACAAACACTAATCATGCACCTTCGTGCGGCAGTTTAATTCATGCAAACTCAGTTTCCTTAAGATACTCCCCAGGCACGTCGGTGCAATCAAGACCAAAGAAACAAAAATGTCACTGTTTAACGAACGCTAGCTTTCGAATGTAATCGTATTCTGAGTGTTCTACGTCAACAGTTCAATGCATTTTTTAGCTGCTCAACTACAGAGGAATAGCTGAGGTATAATTGGTAAACGGTAGTTCATTCTCACACCCTGTGTATCACTTCATCTGCCTCTGCGCTGATGCACACATAAGCAAAGCACACCGCCAACGAGTACAACAGATACCTGAGTACATTTCAAAGTGGTTGACCAAGTCGATAACGTAATCCATGTCCGTCAGTCAGGCGGTTAAATGAAACTCGGGGTCGTTCAATGGGAGGCACCGCATGTTAACCGATCAAGTAACTGACCACCTCTGACGTCACTACTACGAAAGCGAAATGCAAAAAATTGTGCTGTTAAGATTTGTGTTGATACAGTAACCCATCACCTATATAGATCAATGTGGCACTGGCTATTGATGAGCATGCCACTGCTCAAACCCAAGTCTGATTCGACAAAAAAGTACAAAAATTAGACCCAGAAAGGTAAACAATCACCTCATGAAGTTGATACAGAGCACTGTATAAAACTGCGATAATCACCAAAATGCTATAAAGGTACATCTGATATGAAGTTCAATCCAAGAAGTCACTTTCTTCGGAGTTGTTACCAGTCGGCTGCCATTCGCGACCGTATTACGAAGTTCGTAAGCATCTGTCAAGTTGCTCATCATCAGTGAAACCAATAGTTTATAATGAAAACCGTGCCAAATCTTAGAAGCCACGTGGCATGAATGTTGGAACAGCGTATTCGAGCCAGTCAAATTGCAGATAATAATGATTAGTACGAATACGGATAGGCTCATGTACGATAAAAATTATCGCGTGCCAAATGCTTTATTAGTTCGGTAAAGATGATAAAATAGACCTGCAAACTGAGCTGTCGGCTCTAAACCTGCTTTGTAATCTTCTGTTTCTATTTACAGGAAATGCCCCCACCTCCACGTGACTATTAGTAGGTCTCAAACGACAGATGTACGAGCTTGTCACCTTTTCACGTGACTTATTTCCAGACAGACAATTCACGATGATACGATTAATTTGATCATATGTAGATTACTTAGAAATAAAATTTGGAGACTTTTAACCGGCACTCAATACCATAGTCAGGTTGTAACCCGCACCGAAAACCCCTTGGATCTACGATAATTGTTACTATGGAGAGAAAATTATTTGAGCATTTTCAGTTCTTGGGGGAATGTATTGCTTCATTTTTCTTTCCAGAACCAGCCATCAAACGATGGGATAGAAACTTTATAAATATAGGGAAAGAACTTTGTTATTTATTTCCTTGATTGCTGCATTAGAAAGACAATAGGAACGTTTTAAAAAGAATACTTGCTTCAAAAAAACATAAGTCTTAGTAACGAATGGCTGTTTATCAAATATCCACGAATTTGTTCAGTAAGTAACTCAATACAAACTGTTACCGGTTGCGTTAACGAAATAAAAAATACTCACAGTGATAGAAAGCGAGAGTTAAGCCAAGTAAGACGATACAACCATGAGTACATTTTTCCCACACCTACGGGTCGACTCGAGAGTGTATAATAGTAATAGTTACGTGCACACAATGATCTCTAGGTCACAGGCAGTTACCCTAGCGATGGAATCACGTCTTTGGTCGTAGAGCGAACGTGTACTAGTGCGTGTGAATCGAATTCATGTCGCACACCAATGACCAATGAATATATCGATCGCGCCATACTCAACGCCTGTACATTCCCATTTCAATGGGCGTTCCATCATGATTTTCTGAATGAGTGAGCGATTGATTTTCATGCATGCCTTTCGTGTCACCAATTTCATCATTAGATAACCTTCTAACAGTCTGCTTAACTTATGTCGAGTTGACCTTGGTAACGGGATGCTTATTCCTCCCTCTCTCACTCCAAATGACAATCTGTTGATTATCTGAATGTATTTCTAAGCAACAGATCTAAGCCAAATAAGTTTTTAGAGCAGAAGAAACCGCCCTATGTAATCCGGAATTCAGCAGTCCTAGAGAGACAATAGACATTTGCCGGTATCTCGGACTAATGATGATGATGGTATAACGGAATATGTCTTACCGATTGACGATAAATTTGTAAAATAGCCGAAGACCAGTTTCATATCTAATAAATCTTTCCAGTTTGACCCTCTGATCGTTTTAAACCAAATGACAATTCATCAGCCTCATGTATCTCTTAGGGTGAATCGAACAATGTGATCTTCAACAGTCTGAAAAACGACGCACGTCTTACACCTGCAAAGGTTGAACGCGAAAAATATAAATAACGTTAAACCCGTATGGGTTCAATCGATAATATAGTTTCAGCAAGAGGTTTTTTCCTCGATGGTGCGTAGGTGTCCGTTAAACTACACACGTGCTATTCGCCGCACACCCAGCCAGCCACATACGCACGCTAGACCGTATTCGATTTCCCTTCATGTTGACAGGAAAAACGGAGCAGTGAAAAATGGCTCTCTCTCACTGTGAACCACAGCTTACCCTTATTTGACTGCCACCTGAAAATTTTGATTAGTTCCAATCCCTTTCTATGTGTGTTGCACATAAATTGCCTTTCTGCTTGCCAGATAACGACTCTATCCCATTGCGGAGGTGGTAGCAGAAACGTCCGTTTGTGAAAGCTCACTGTCTTTTTATTTACCACGTTGTATAGCTGAATATGATCTGTTTTTTCCAAACAATTGAAAGCTGGAATATGATAAGATTCATCCTATGGGTGTCGAAATGGATTGAATAATTGGGTATACAGCTAACCATGGAACCAGTCACGAAAGAGGCATCGATGGTTAGAGAATGGGAGTAGGCGAAGTGCCAGATAGGACAGAATATGTGCGGCTTTCTGATAAAAAAACGAATTATTTGACTGATTGTGGACTGTTCCATTAGTCAAGCTTACATAAAAGCACTCGAACGGTAGATGACATAGATCTAGTGCAAACCATTGACCCTAGCAATCTTAGACCCTTTAATACGGAAAGTAATATAAATTTAGTGCCTGCATGACATAGTTTGGTCCTTTGAAAATTCAGAATAACCGATTTTTAATGCATTCGAGATATTCAATCCGCAAAAAAACCAGTTGGGTTTGCTAATCGGAACTGGAATTTGAGACTAATGAAGAATTCAGGAGGTAAAATTTGACACTCAAACGCTCGTTTGATGCTGAGAAACCGTGCATCACTTACCTGCAAATATACTTTTTGCTGGTTCAAAACAATCACCGACCTCGTCGGTTGTTATATGTGTGTTCGATACGGACAATTTGGTTTGAGTTGACTGGTGATGTCTCTGTGACAGGCTGAGTTGCAAACATATACGTATATATATATATCCATTTTTGATCGATCATCCGCGCTTCTCACGCGTATTGAGTATGTGTGTTCTAACCCGAAGATATCAAATTGACGTGTCATCACTTATCACGGTGATATCAAATGAAAAAAAGACGAATTCCGAAGTTGTGTTGACAGTTAAGGTCATCGCCATGCAATGGTATCGTAGGCGTATAGTGGTTTAGACATGGGGGTGGCTAGTTCAAAAATGTTCAGAAGCAAGGCCACACAGGATTCGTTTGAAAACGAGATAGATGTAAGTTTAAGACTTAAAGTGTTCATTAGATGATTTGAATCCACAAAATTCACCCTAGTACTTCAGTACCTATCAAAAAGTAATTACAACTGTTATGTTTACGTAGTGATACCGTTATTAACAAAGAACGTGAGTTTGCTTTTCGACGCAATCGGGTTACAGTTGACTCGGATATAGCAATTTAGCAGTGAATTAGCATTCGAAGAATCCGTGTTATAGCGTATCGATACATNTACATATATCGATATATTTAGGAAACGTTGCAATGTTTAGACGAAAACTTTCTGAAAAGACACCGACGCACATCTTGTATAATGCAGACCTCGAGTGTTATAAATAAGCTTAGTTTTTGTGAATAACTAACTATTTTTGAGATCTTTCCAGTTGTATCATGCAAATCTACCTGTCCCCCACGGTCACAAACCAGCAACTCCTTAAAGTTCCGATGTATTAGACTTGAAGGGCTTGGGAAAAAGAATGCCACACTCAGGTTGTCTCTCTCTTATCTATCTGTTTACGCGGACTCATAGGCCCCGCATCGATGAGTTTCTAGTCTTTTTTCAGTAGTTTCCAATTTTTCTCAGTGTTTTCATTTGGCGATGGTCCGCGTTTTCTATCACACGCATGCCATGCCGATTGGGCACTTATTTATCTTCATCTCTATCTATTTAAAGAATACTTTATGGAGTCCTTTAAGGGAAACGTGTAAACTGATTGTCTGGAAAAACGATATCAATTATCTGCTTTGATCCCTTCCGGTTTTGAGCCCATTTGCTGTTCTTTGTAGTTTTGAGATTACCACATAAGTAGTTTAAAAACATCTAAATCTTTTTTCTGTATGGTTGTCTCTATATTGCGCTCCAACTTTCTGAAAGTATTTTGATATTTTGCTTTGATATTGAGTTTACCACACAGGCATTCAAAAAAGGAAGTTTTAGGGGTCAATGTAGGTAATGGAATTCTCAAATATTTTTCATGTTAAATTTACATACCGCTATTAGTACTAAAAGCCTCTCAAAATAAGCCTGCCTGATGGAGCGATATCCTTAAAAATGGTAGCACTGTGTTATTCACTCTACTAAGTCCCGTTCCCAAACACGTGGTGGATTAGGGCACAGAATTTCAGGCTACCAATGATAGCCACCGATAGGAGATTACTTCAAAGGTCAGTTATATTTTTCCTCAACTGCAATGGCCATTTCTCCTAGTCACCAAATAAAAGGTCTTTCGTAAACAACCTCGGGTATAGTGGTCTTCGGGTGCATTATGAAAGAGGTATCTGCTTGATAATTTGGTCCCTGACAAGAATACATTCGGTTACACGTCTAACTAAGCCATAATATGGTGAATTGGTTTCATCTTTGAACTGTGTTGCTTTATTACCAGTAAAACATACTTTTTCTTAACGAGCCATAACTTATTCCGGAGATATTTTGCTCTAATTTACATAATTGTCTTGTTACAAAATGTTTGTAACATCATTTCCAGCAGATGTGCACCGCATTTCGTGGTAGCCAGTTTTCGTTCAACAGGAGACATTTTCTTCCAACGTTTCAGCCTAAGAACGTCATAACGTGCGCGATCAGCGCCAAAATGGAGAACGAGCTTTTCCCTAAAAAAACCAGCATTATTTGCAGCATTTATTCTCTACCAGTCTCGCACGCTTAAGTGTCTGAGCCTCCTTGACGATTTACCGAATCTGAGTTTTGCTGGACAACTCTGTCGCAAATATTGACGCGTTGCGTTTGGGTTACCAGCACGATTTTGGTCAGTGGTACTGAGCCAGATAGAGATGAGTGTTTGCACACACACACAGACACGGGTCATGTGTGAAAGAACTTTTTCTGTTTTCGTCTTCGATGTGAAGTGGTTTGGTTAGTGCGTGAATTTTGCTTGTCATGTGTCTGATGCAAAATAAGATTTTCTTGAGTGTTGCATTTTTCTACTGTCTGTTTTTATTCGAGTGTTCTCTGTTGCGAGGATTTTTCCGAGGTACAAATTGTGTCAACTTAGCAAAAAGCAAACGATGCACGGTTTTTCATTTTGTTCGTATGCTGTTCAAACTCAGACCAAGGGTCACTCAAGGAAGTTGTGGAATGGAATACGATGAAAACAGTTCAGAGAGGAGATAGATTTCTCTGTACAAAAAATCGGAATAATAAATCGATGACCCTTGTTACAACATGTAGAACGGCTGTGGGAAAAAGAGCAATCATTAGTGAAAGGTAAAAAACAGAATATATTGTTTATATTTGTAGGAATCTCACCCTTTTGGATTGTACTGTATCGATCCTCGTCCTCAAATCCCCGGTCTCTATTGATTTATTGTCCGCTGTAGTGGGCGTGACTTTAGCCGGAGAGCGTCGATTCACATGAATTGGTGAGCCCCAATCAGGCATCACACGACCCGATTTACTACCAGCATTAAGATTCACCTAGAAAACAGATACGCAAGTTATTTAAAGCGAAAATATCTATAATGGATGAGAAACGGAAGTTTAGAATGAGCACAATCGTCGTTCATTAAGTGTAACTATGAGTGAAAATTTTACGGTTGTATGCAGGATGAAATGGCAAGTGTAAGCGGTGGAGAACTGTGTACTCAAACGCCCAAGTGCGCGTGACCCCTCAAGCACGTGATCTACATGGGTTGAAATTGACAAACTAAGCATGATCGCCAACACGTAAATTACAATTAGCAAGTCAATGATCGGGTGATCTATCAGGTGGTATTTTCTACGGAATGACATGACAATTATTAACGGACCATAAGAACTCCTGATAGCAGCCGTGATTGAGGAGTCAAATTATCGTCGACAGCTTGATCGGTCCCACAAAATGGTTTCACTGTTTGCTGTTATTGAAGCTCTTCAATGTCTTTAAATCTTCCTAAAAATTCGGATGGACAACAACTTACAAACTGCTCGATCGCTTCTGTTTTAGTTTTTTTACTGTTGTTGTTGTTCTGATAAACGTGATCATAGTTGACGCCATGCTGCACCAGTCCTGCCGGGTAATTTTAAGTTCTTTTTGTTTAACATCTCCATTCGGACAGATTATCACTGTTACCGTTTATGCCTCGAAAACAGCTATGATGTGAAGTGATTTTGCAGAAGCTGGGCTTATAGTGCTAGTGCATGCATGAAGCATGTGTCTATCATCTATCTGTTCATTTGTCTGACCAATTTGATGACACGAAGTTCGTTTCTTCTGTTCATACACACACCTATCCAAGATTAGATGGAAAACATTGCTTGCTGATAAGGGTCTCGTAGTGTGTTATCATTGCCAAAATCCACACGTGTGAAATTCATATAAAAATATGGATATGGAATAAACCACTCAATTTTCTCACTTCTTACATGTTTCTAACAAACGTGTACACTAATTTGTTGGAACAAAATATGAAAATAACTGTTCTTTCACTTCTCATCACTCTATGTCGACGGCACTTTTACGGTGCATCAGACGAGAGTTGTGTGACGAAAAGCGTTAATAATTATTTGATCATATAAAACGGCCCATTTATCGGATGACATGACAATACTATGTTTGAACGGCTCAGTTGAACTCACTAACCTCACGCTGTGAATCGGCTAGGCGAGCTCTGCGTAGTGCCGCTTCGAATAAGGTTCTCGGTTCCGGACGTTCGCCGGCTGAATCGCAGCCGTCCTCCTCTGAATCACTGGCGTCACAACTGCTGCACCACTGCCCTCGCTTGTACTGGCCCGTTTGGGCAAGGTGCACTTGGTTGGCTGGCTTATCACCCTCGTTCGATGTTGTCTCTGCTAAGGATTTGGATGGGGTGGGTGCACTATGTTGCCGGGGTAAGAGACGTTCCACAGGGGACAAACCGACAGCCAGTATGGAATGATCTACAGTGGTTATGTGAACCAACTGCGTGGAAAGAGAAAGTTTTGTAAAGAAAAACATTCCATCAATAAATAGCAGTATCACGCGTAGGTAGAAGCGGAATTGTGGGGAAGACGTAAACGGTTTCACATGCACCAAGGAGTTAGATCAGTTCTCGTCCAGGTATTTTCGGAAGGAATGACACTGCATAAATAAACGAAATATTTTCTCCAGCCGAATTTCTTTCACTGTGTTAATGCAGCGAACCATCAAACTGGAATTTAATCAGTTGACATGCGAGAAAAAAGGAACTGGTTATATAAAGGCAAACATTTCTGGGGAATGTGTATGCATTCCATTAAGAGTGCTTTAATGAAAACGACCTAACACAAAAAATGTGCTGGACCATGATACTACTTTGAAGAAAGTCAGTAGCGTGGTTAAAACTACATTTATTGATGGATAGATTTGCACGAGAAACGAGAGCAAACGTAATCCGATCATTACTGGTGGCGTTATGAATGAAATCATAATTAAAGGAGATTATTCACTCTAGCAATGATAAACGAAATACGGTCATTTATTGAACGTAGTTGTAACCGAAGCTCAGTCTTCGCGAAAACACCTTTTTATCAAGTGTTTGTAGTCGTACCTGGAGATATCAAGTGAAACTACACTGAGCAGTTCTTCATCTTAAATTTTAAAGAATCATAAAAGATATATTAGCAACAGAGCAAGTTTCATCATCATAGGACAGGAAGACAGCAACTGCTTCGCGTCATTTCCTCAGCGATGCCGCAACTACCACCGTTTAATTGGGTCTGTTTCTCCAAATCAAATCACATATCACATAGTTTATCCAATTTTGGCATGAGATGAGAAAAATCAGTAAAGAACTCGAGTGTTGTTTCACTGCTGAGGTGCGGCGTGCAGTGCCTAATACACAAATTAAGCCGAGTTCAGCTCGAATGCTCAAGAATCCTGCTACAATATATGTGAGTGATTTCGATACCGAAATTCTCTAATTGGGCACTGGATTCGTTTCACTGCACCGCGGGAAATCGATGGCCGTTTATCGATGAAAGCCCATCTCATTTATGCCAATCAGGCTTACCCTGGTTCATTTGTGTGTCAGACCAGTTCTCGTCCTGTTGGTTTTCATTTGTAAAACAGATGCTACATTCAATAGTCCTTAGATGGACTAGAACATATTTTCTGTTTCTTCATATCTGACTTCAGTTTATATTACTGGATTGTATTGTGGCTTTCATTGCTCTATCTTGAAGCGCAGTTTACCATTTTTGAAATTTCCTCTGCCCATTAATTGGTCAGTTCAAACGAAAAACATCAGAGAGCGAAATCGGACGCATTCCACTCGAGATTTAAATCTTGCATGTCTCATTTGCTGAGGATGTAGTACCGCTATGTCCCTTTAGCATGCATACAAAGGTTACTCGAAGTTAGCAGTTAAGACGCGTAAGGGTATCGTTGTCAAAGACAGTCATCTGTTGATCCGAAAAAGAAATAAAGGTAAATGTTCGCATTTATCTCACCGTTACTCATGAGTAGTTGTGTGGAAGAGAAATGTATCGATAAGTGAATGATAAGTAAAAGTAAGCCACGGATTCCCATATGTGACGCAACTGTTTTGATGGTTATCCTTTCAGACGCTTACGATGGTAGTGGTAGCCATGTGGTTGGGTCACAAAATTGTGATCCGGAAGTCCATTTCTTTACTCAAAGGAAGTGGAAGCCATTTAGAGTATCAAGCTTGGATCAGGCCATTCAACTTNNCTTTCCAGAGGCACCAGCTGTCCAGTGCCCTTTGTCGGTTATCACAAAGATTTCTATTGCATATTAATGCATTTACCTCGCGGGGAATTTCTGATCTCCCAAGGAATAAAACCCACACATTAGACCATCCAGAGTGCCTGGTGCCCCTGAAAAACCGAATAGGTCAATATATATAGTTCACACACGTTTGAATTCGGACTGTGCCAAACAAATCGTGGAACAATAATATTTATAAAAGAGAAACGTTCCACGATTTGCATGTGAGCTGAGTACTGTCACGCTAATCCAACTCTAAATTGCTTAAGCCATTCGCACAAGGTGATCACGGTCGACTGTGGGGCTCAGGAGTAAGGCTTTGAAGTCCCGACCCGAATGTTTGCGGTTCGAGTCCTGACAGGAACACAAAGAGTAAGTACCGCTTACGAGTCCTAAACAAGTACAATCAACTGTTTATTCCTCGTTTTCGATCATCACAAATAGTTCCATTGCAGTTAAAAGGCATTTATTTTTTTAATTTTCAGAGTAAAGTGTCAAACTCGATATGAACTAATAGTGTGTTGTGAATTTAGGGAGAATAAGATTGTAAACAATCGGAACTCATCTCAAACCAATACTCACAAGTAACTATGCGTTGAAATAGGAAAAGCGTCTATTGGTTGTAATCAACGATACACAAACTGGTTTGAGAAAGATGAAAACGCCAGAAATATCCTACTTGCTATAAATCGCAAAAATGTCATAGTAACTTGGATCGATTTGAACATGCACCAATGCCTTTTTGATTGCAGACGTTGAAGAAATAACACACAAAATTGATTTAGAAGAAATACGAAACCTTTAAAACGATTCATTGCCCACGTTCGGAAAAAATCGAGGTTTATTTTATCAAAGAGAGAGAAGTGCTTGTTTGAAACACATTCTTCAAATATTCTATTCTAAATATCCTCAATATTCAGTGTTCTGGGACCCAAAGACTTTAATTTTTCAACTATTTCCATAGGGAGAGAGTACATAAATACCAGTAAACATTGCCAGCGCAAACGTAGGCAATCCTGCTCTCGTGTGAAGAAGAATGATCCATTCATCGAAACGGTCGGGAACGTACTGATTTTTGGACCATCGCGAAGAAGTGTATGCTTCCGGCATTCTGCATTTTCTTGATTTAACCTGAGCTCGTCTTCACCGGGGATGGCTACAAATCCACGTTTTTGATAAGCTGAAGTTCTGTATGATTAGTTGCTTTTTAGCTGGCGAAGCAACTTCTGTCGTCTAGAATACCTCGTCTCAATGGCATGCCAATTTGTGGATTGGCATGTTCTGTCAAATTATTTTCGTACACTTAACCGCACTTTGGTAAGCAAATTCATTTCAAATTGACTGTCATAATATTTGCTTTCATGGCATATGTGATTGCATCAGATTGGTTCACCGTACCAGAAGTGCAATTCGATTGTTGTTCAAAAATCACTATCCATTTTATACGCTTCAAGTTGTGAATCTAATTTTACTTTGCTTTGACGCGTCTCTTCAATTCTAACCTGTGCAACCGTCATTCGGATGCAATGTGAAAAGTATGCGCATAAGGTTCTTATCAAAGTCCAATTTTCAAATTTTTATTATGGGAAAAAACAAAGACTTCGCTTATCAAATCCCATAGGATGTTTACACTTTGGTTTGACTGCACACATCCGCTACACAGATTTGACTTCCTGTTGTTCCCATCCGTCAACTAGATCGCAATACTGTTGCGTTTCCTCTCCAATAAACATATATTGTAATTATATAGTGCCCTCATTAGCACGTATTCTAGTTAATAAAGAACAAGTTTTCACAGACTTTATTCACAGTTTCGGGAGTTAAATCTATGTTGTATTTTCTTCCTCTCTCCAGCTTGTTCATTTTTAACTGAAAGGTAGGCTTTATGTCTGCACAGGTTAGAACAATAATAATAACAATAAACTAATCTGTTACCTAAGTCAGGAAACAGTGGGAACTGCATCAGGTTTAGCATGTCGAGTAAGTTCATGGATTCTTATTGCACGCCATTCAAATCAGCATATCAGACTTACATCAAGATGAGACTGACTCTGGCTATGCAACAGTTCAGTGGAGAGATTCAGTTGAATCGTGGGTGCCGGAACTTTGACCATTACAGATCGTGGTGATTTCGGTCGGTCCTCCTCTTCCTCCGACTTCTCCGATTCTTCTCGTTCCTCTTCATAATCGAACGAACCAAATGTGTTTTGATAGTACGATCTAGTTTTGATTTGTGACGACTGCTCGCCAAACGATGCTTCATTAGGTTCACTGCCCAAGTTAGGATCCGTGTTTGAGGTAGGCCAGGTTACCGAGTGTACAGTCAGACAGGATCGATTCAGTCGCTGATGTCTGCTCACACCGGGGTGCTGATTGAGGCTGATAATCTCGTGCGCACTAGCTCCAATCGATTCATAGTCTTCCCAATAACCGCTACTGGTTGCACTGCTTGAGTAGGGCAAACAACTGGTGAGCAATTCAATACTGCTGCGATGCAAATGACTTTTGGATCGTTGCCATTCGGTCGGTACGGAACGGACGCGTGCCAACTGATTACCGAACGTGTTGGAAAATGCCTCCGGGCTTGTTGCACTCATATCCGTGTGAGCTTTTGCGTAAACACAAGGGTAGATGAGAGAAAGATCCGTGACAAGGGGCAGAAAATCAAAAAAACTATTCATCAGAAGATGTCTTGCAATTTGGCATGAACCACATGCGGTGGAAAATATAATCCATCTGAGTTGTTCGTAAATAATTTTTGGAAGTGATGCATGTTTCTGTTCAAAATTTCCTTCAGGGTGGTCATGTTCGTCTCTCTTATATCCCAATTTAGATTTTTTCAAACGAGATAATTCACCTTTCTATTGATAGAGCCATAACTGTTGTTTGACGAAAAGGGAAAGTGTGTGAAAATTGAGAGATAAATAAACGGCAAACTAGTTTGCAATTCAAATCTTTGGAACTAAAACATATCCGCATCTGCAAAGCTGTTTTTAGGTTCATGGTCACAAACCAACAGCAGTGTTTTTGAACTTCGAGTTTTATCGTGTGATTTCTGCATTCGTAACCCATCAACTTGATTACATGTGTTGTTGTGTATCCGTGGACGAGTAACCCAATTGTTCTGATGACTGCCTGTGAAATATTTCAAAAGTCGATGAATTATTGTACAGACTTATGGTATTTGTGTTCATTGCATTAACCGTCACTTGTAAGCGTAAAGCTAGTCCATAGTATTGGTGATTTTCTACCATATTTAGTTCACGGCTGATCTCAATAGACACCACGGACTCCGTCAATCAACCAAGATAGCTGAACTATACATATGCTGTTTTGTTCAAAACCTGTCCGGTAATTACGCCTGACAGATTGAAAATAACCAACTGCTTGGGAGGTAGCAGGGAAAGGTTTCAAGGTCACGATACATTTTAGTGCATCGCATTTGAGCGTAGTGGATGCAAATTACAAATAAGTTTTGGGGTGACTGAAATCTTCAGACTAAAAGGAACTCTATACATGAATGCTATTATCTTTCCTTAGTGCATACATTAACCAAACACTGTATTCTGGAAAGGTATGAGCTGCGACTAAAGAAGAAATTATTTCAACTTCTGGCTGAGGAAACTTGCTTCAAAAAACTGCCTTTTGGTGAACTATGTAACGCTCCCCCGACAATACTTTCAGAATGTGAAACCACCGTGCTAATGTTGCTTAGACAACAGCATCGATCTAACTCGGGATCCCTTCGTTTCATACCTACTTTCACGGTGCGAATTAGGTATAGTCTCGAATGATAACTACGTGGCTATCTACCGATCTTACATAGTGATAATAAATGGGTGCTGGACAAAAATTGGATCAAATTTGTCATTTTGTTACATAGTTCGCGTTATAATGGTTTTCCCACAGAATTGTTATTCCGTCCATGAGTAATTTATTATCCCGATCAGGGCCTGTCAGTTTCGTCTCGGCAACACTTTTTATGAACAGTCAAGCATGCTAACTTTTTCGGTGAACATTCTTGCCTCTGGCTTTGATGAAAAGTTTTGGTGAACTTTGTACGACTGTACCACGTGCAGGAAATCAAAATTGTGATTTTAGGTTTGAAAAAATAGTGTAATTGTTACGATCTTAATGTTGCAAAGTATATCCGAATTTTTCGCAGATACTAATAATAATAATAATAATAATAAACTATATGAATCGTCTTGCTTTTTTCGAGGAACGTCCGCCAGACAATAGCGTTTTGTATTGCCCATCCCTTCAGTTCATTGGATATGATCAACTGCCTACGTTACACTGATAAACCTTTCGTGTATAAAGCTATTTCGGCAAAATTCACCAACGGTCATCTAACGTTTATCCCAGTAAATTACATTATTGTAAGCGGGTCTGGGAGGAACGAAAACTAATACGAGATGTAACGTATTGGTTGAAACAGTTTGGTTAAGTTTAATGATCGTTTTTTTCCTCATTTTTTCTCTAGAAGACAAAGATATTCATTGCGGGGGTTCACTATGTGTGATAAGGAATACAAAGTGCCGTTTATACTGGTACTCTGATCGACATCAATATGAATTGTGACTGCTATCGGAAGGACTTTTGAATCATAACGGTGAATCAGAACAGCATGTAGTAGAAGTATAACTTTGAACCTCTAAGCTGCTGTACGTGGAGACGTAAGAGATAAGCTGCCAAAAAGAACATTACGTAAATATTGACGTTTTGTACAAAAAGCGTCTTGGATTTGGTTCATTAACGGACAAGCATCAGTGGCCTTCATTTACGTTCAGTCAAAAAAATCAACTTTGTCACTAATCACATAAACGGTGCTCTCCAAAATCTTGCACTCACGAGTTGTTCAACGATCTATGACTATGGAGACCGTAGAGAATCAACGATCATACTAAAAACCGATTAGTAGTATTGTTCAATCACCAATAGGATGTTTGGAAGAGCTTCCAGTTGTACTGGACGAAAACTGGAGTTGTTTGAATGCCCTAAGAAACTGTTAGCTTGGCTATCCAACTATTTTACTCACAGAGTACAAAACCACTAGATTGAGGATATCATCGTCTAAACCCTTAGTCAACAATTCCGGAGTTCTTCAAGTAGCTGTGTTATCACCATACTTATTTTCCATGTATATTTGTAATATTACTCCTGATCGTGTCTTGAAATATGCGCACGATGTTATGCTGTATCGCCCTATTTCTCCTTCCCCGATCTTGGTTCCTTTACCAACAATCTTGATCCAATTCAGTCATAAACTTTAACCGAAATTAAACTATATCCTATCTTGCATGTTTACTCACCGAAAAAGAAAGGTAGCATGTGAAATTGGTCTTAACTTCGGATTATGAAATGTTCCCATGTCTGTAAACATTCTCTCTCGGCTGAATTTATTCTTCTTGACGATTAGCTTATATAGTGTGGTTTAGTGAAGTTGAAGCCTCGATGCTTGCAAAAGCTATACACAATACAGGGCCGGATGGAATGACCTAGTGGGTTTCGAAATGCCCGACAAAACTTATCGGTAATGGGGTACCCAAACACACACGTTGATGCTTGTGTTATCCAAAGCTTTTCCAGTTTTTATTCGATGTAGACAATGTACCATTTAGCAATGGACGTTCTGATTAGATGAATGTTGACACAATGGGTGAATGGCATGTTGATAACAAACAACAGGAACAAAGCACGTAAATAGAGTTCAAATTGGAAAACGACGTCTGTGAATTGCGTGCAATAAAGGTGACTAATTTTCATTGATTCACGGTAGATAGCCATCATTACTATTCTACTTTGACGGTCTGCATTCAATCTTCCAAGAGAACTTTCCGTGTGATCTCGAACGCGACGTGCAAAAACAAACGGTTGCTGCTTTTAGTCAACAATGCAAATTACTTTTCCGAGGTAAATTTTACAGGCAGCTAATGACGACATCACAGCATCAGACAATTAATGATTTCCGGTGTACTCATTGGCAGACAGAGATGGGAGTCACAAATTATGAAATCTATCCGAAGAGGGATAAGCACGGGATTAGCTGAATTTAGTTCAGAATCACAAACCCATCCCCTGCAATAGTTGTCTGAGAATTAAATAGATATATTTAGAAAGGAATGTTCCTACAATAGTTAATGGAAAATCAATTCTGTAAATATTTTTGAGTGTTCCGTCAAATATCGGTTGACACATTAATTCGAAACTACCTTCAAAATGAGATTGAATTTTTTTCTGTCTAGGTTTTCTTTTGTACCGAGCTAATAGTTAAAAATATTTGCATCCAAAGTGCAGTTGTTTGAACTGATAGAATGCGGTGCATCATAATTGAATATCAACTGACACAGAAATAGAACGAATGTCTATTGAGAGATTGCAGCGTTCTCAATCAAACTGGCAACATGTTGATTTAGTTTTAAGTTGATAGTATAAAAGTGTTTAATGAGAGCGAAACGCATTATTCTTGCGAATCATAGTCAATTGATTTCATACAGATTTATCATCATATCTTTGACGCGGTCATTTTCTCTTTCGTCGATTTATTAAGGTAATTGTGTTCAATAAAATATTCGCCCTTGCAGTCTTCAGTGTTGAACGCATTTCCCTTTTACCGATCTCACAAACCACCAAATTGCAAAAGGCTTGCGAAACAATTGACTGCCCTCAGAAATGTGGCTGCTAAATGTTGTTTATGGGAGGTTTTGGTTCCAACCACGGAGGAAACTAATTCTGGTGATGAATGAGTGTGGAGACATAGATGATTGGTGGATGAATGTGGCTGTTACTACAGACAGGACACGCGCGCATCATGGGGGGTGGGGTGTAAGAGATGTGAATATCGTGACCATGATCTGGTGTCCCACGAAATTGTTATCTTTTGCCCCATGTGCACTTTGCTGCTACTAGCGATGATCAGTTGGGATCCACATGGTGTGAGCGATCAAATCGCAGAGTGCAATGAATGGTACATTAGATGAACGGATGATGATGGTGAGGATGATGATGTAAACACCCGATTTTGTCCATTCGACATGGCATGTCCGAACAAACTGACCTACACTGTCCAGAGCCCAGTTGGTTTAGGTGATACTGTACTACTTTTTTCTGCCCCTTAGGTAATGAACGCATGTCAGTTTATCCACCAACTATCCAGGTACATTCATGAGCAACAAAAGGGTTCCTTTATGTTGAAAGACAGAATGTGGTTGGAATAAATTCCAGGGTTGTTTTAGTATAAATGACGTTTCACTGCCGGTCATAAATGAAACATCTAAATTTCGATATGAAAAAACAGAGAAGAGACTATTCGTGAGCAAATATTTTAGCTTGGTAGATCCCCTCTATTTCCAGTGAATCCAAAGTAGGTCAAATCATGACCGGACGATTCGATGCCTTCTGACAATCTTTTTCTATGTTACATGGGACAGTCGTTTTATATTGAGAGTATATTTTTATTTGTAAGCAGTCGGTTACAGTACCAAGCTGATCATATTGTTCTTTATCAGACCTCATCTTCGTTTCTTTACTTTGCATTTTTCTGATTAGTTGAGTTATTTTTGATGCATAGTAACACATGTTGAAATTTTCCTAA